TTGAAAAATCTCAATTTAGTCCCTCGTTATAAAAGTGTTTTGAATTAGTCCTAACTTTTAAAATAGTGGGTCAGATTGGTCCTTTCTGTTAAATATAAGTTAACAAAATTAATGGATGATGATGTGACACAACTTAAAGCTAACGAGGGACCAATCTAACACATCAGCTTTAAGCTGTGTCACATCATCATCCATTAATTTCGTTAACTTATATTTAACGAAAGGGATCAATCTGACCCACTATTTTAAAAGTTATGACTAATGTAAAACACTTTTATAACGAGGGACTAAATTGAGATTTTTCAACCAAAGTGGGGACTAAATTGGCTATTAAACCGACAAAATAACATATCTAAACAAACAATAAATTTTGTTAAAATAAATTTTAATTCATGACTTTAATATTATTATAAAAAATAAACTTTAAATTTAATTCAATCTTACAAAATCATAAAATAAGATTTACCATCACTTAAATACTCTAATTTAATATTATCTTTATATTAGACTTTCAACATAAGAATACAGAATGTTATAGACCTTTTACTTTTTTACCATTGATTCTAAAGTTTTGTGAATGTTTATTTCCATCTCCTACGTATTGTTTTATTGTATTTTACTAAAACCAATTCCGTTTCACCAAAGAATTACATAAATCTCAATTTTTATAGGTACCTCAAGAAAAATTATTGACCAACAGTTTAGATGATAATAAATTATAATTATGTATTTTAAAACTGCACGAAAAAAAATTTGGTGCCCACAATTAATTTGTAGAGCTTTTAAGTTACTGATAATTTAAACCTACTCTACATATGAGAAGCTTTTTGCTGTTATAGAGGTTATACCGAGTACCCTTTTTCCAACGATCTACCCTTCTCGGATAATTTACAAACGTTAACAGTATCAGTGAAACATTGGGCATTTTCTCCGTTGTGGTTAGCAACAAATATTTTGCCGGATTTACCAGATAATCCATCTTCTGTAATATGGTTTGATTATTGTGAAGCCTAATTAATTACCAAGTCAAACCACAAATTTAATCAGATTAACATGCATCATTTTGTCTGCTTACATTTGAAAATTTTGATCATGGAAGATATACAGGCTTCAGCATAATGTGTTCAAGGCAGCAAACAGAGCACCCGAAGCTCAAACTTTAACTGGGCTTTCTAGCAGAGATCATCACAAAAGGCCCATTTCTAATGCATTTAAACCCAACCAGCCCACACGCCCTGCAGAGATCTTCAAGCTCACGTTCAGAGAGAAAGCTGTAGTTCCCAGATGCTTGCCTTAGAGTCTGAAACGTCAAACAAATATTCTATTACTCAAAACTTATAGAAATAAAAATAAATGATAAAAGTTGACCAACAAACATTCATTTTAGTGTCTGAAAGATTGAGTTGACGAAAATTTAACCCTGTCATGGAATCTGAAATAAAAATCATTCTTCCACGCACAATCGAATACTCTAGATTGATATCTTCTCATATCATTAAGAAACTAAATTACCACCGACTTCCTATAATTGAGAAACTGAATTGAAGCTAGCAGATCCAAATTAAGGAAAAAAGAAACAAAAACAGCTAAGCAAAGAAAGTCTGGTTACTCTTACTGATTTTATCAATTCAGACGGAGCATGCCAACACTTGCACAAAAAATTTCAAGCTAAAAAATTTTAGAGAATTATCACCAGAGAACAGATTTATACAATTTGTTTTACAGCAAAGAGAAGAAATAGAAGTGAGGAATAAAATGGTTGATATAAAGGAGGCATAGATAAGAAACTAATACTGTAGTAAGCGTCGTAAAAAAATGTTGTAAAAAAAACATTATTTAAAATTAATACCTGCCGTAATATACTTCGAAATGGGATAATAGAAAAAGGACCATCAAGTATGTAGGTGGTTGCAACAAATACACCTCCAGGTCGTAAAACACGACTTATTTCAGCAACCTGTTAAAATAGATTACATAAAAGGAAAGTGAAGTCACAGAGTGATGGAAGGCATGGCCATCTGACTAAACTAGGCATACTACTAAGTGATAAATCGGCTGAAGTAATTTATCCATAATATAAAGGTAACCCTTGAAAAAATTGCTTATATTTAAAATCTGCTAGCATGATTAACATTCTGAAACATGTTCTTGTAGTTGTTGACACAACACTGCATACACGTTAAGGGATTCCATTTACTACTTCAGATTAATATAAAAACGTTGTAAACATCTCAAAAACCATGGCTAAAGAATTTATAATTTTCCTCAAGCCACTGTCACAGGTATTTGAAACAAATGAAACATTGTCTGCAAAATCCAAACATAGAGAATAGTTATTCACTTACAGCTGCCAATGGTGAAGGCCAACAGTGTAGAGCAGCGCCAGCATGCACAGCGTCAATAGAATTAGAAACAAAGGGGAGCCTAGATATGTCTGCTCTAACCAAGATTAAGTTCCTAAAACATAAATATTAACAAAATATAATTGTAATATGAATAAAAGATGGCTTAAATAGTTCCTTAGAACTATGAATTCAAAAGTTAGATATAATAATTTTTAATTAGTTTAGAAATATAAACTGAGTACTCTTTTGGGAAGTTCTCTTCCTGCTGAATGAATTCATAACATTGCTGTAACATGTTTTCCGAGTAGTCTAGAGCAACAACAAAAGAAAAGAGTTGACTTTTTGCGAATAATCTTGAAAACAATCCACTTGCACAACTAGCATCAACTATATTTCCTCCCAATACGGGTTTTAGGAAACCCTTCATCAATTCAAACTGCAGACAAATTAAGTAGAAGGCGTGAATCACTGTTGAACAACACACGAGCATAAAGAAGTCATACATTAACAACATAATTCCAATATAAAAGTACATAAGACAATAGAAGACAGATTCGTTAGTATTTCAAATGATTTTATCTTATATTTTGCAGCACCATATCCAAATTAATATTCTTTCCACCAATCACCCAAAGTTAAACAAAACAAATTGATTGGTAGAGCTCTCTGGACATATACGAGCTAAGGGTGGGCACATTGGCTAATGCTCTCTGACTGATCTTAATCTCCTCTTTAGAAGATAGTGCAAAACTTTCATTGTGTACCTTGAACAAGAGTCCCTAAAAGAAGCATTTAATCAGGTGGCATTATGGATTTGAATAGTTCAAGGCTTTTGTGGAGTTCTGTACAAGTTACGGAGGCTTTGCACCTCTTCTAAGGAGATTAAAACCAGTGATGATGTTAACATTGATTTTCTCAAGAACACAATACCAAACATGACAGAAGGCATTATTATCATTGTTGGAACGTCCATTAGGCCCAATGTCTCACCTCAATATATTTTGCTTCCTCATTGAAGCAAGTAAACCACCAAA